TTTCAAGAACTTTCCTTTCTAATCGCGACTTTTCTTTTCTAAATTCTTCGCGCTTCTGCGTTTTAAAGATATTAAAAAGTGACTTTCTCTGTCCCATGATTTAAGCCTTTCGATCGGATCCGGAGATGTTTCGTTACATCGAGGTCGTTTCATCCCGAAAATCAATAATTGTAGAGGAAAGTAAAAAAAAAAAAAAAACTCGTATATTGGAAACACTTCAGCGACCACTCGAACCTGTCACTTGACGATACAAGAGAAATAGCGTTAGTACAATATTTACTTTCCCAACTCTATACTGTCGCGTATAATATCTCGAACGAGTTAATATCTCGCAGTTCTTTTTTTTCGTCCCCCCTTTTTTTTTTCTTTTTTCGGTCGAGAGTAATTTCACGTACAACACGCGGCGAAATAAAACAGGATTATTTGACTTAATTACGGATGCATGGAACGAATGAATATGCATAGATAATACACGTAGGCTGAAAGAAGGTGAAAGAAGAGAGGAAATTGAAAATCATAGCGGCTGAATAAAACAATTTCATTGATGTCAGGCCGGCGTCATAAATCAACTGTTATTCATAAACGAACAACTTGTTTTCGATCTGCGAACAAACGAGCATTTACGGGGTAATTGAATGTCTGTCGAAATGAAAAGAAGTGAGATGATTTTAAAGAAAAGGCGAGATTTTAAAGTAATTTTGCCGGCGTTTGACTTTAACGAATTAATTGGAAATTAATGAAATTTCATTAGGCGAAAATGCAATTTATTAAACAAACAACGCGTGCCTCGCGGCTGTTGCACGGCTGCTGCGACACGTTAAGCACCACTGTGTGAATTTCGTTAAGTAATGTCAAAAAAAACGAAATAAACGATTCATGCTAATTGAGTCATCCTTTATGCGATTCGAATCGAAGTAAAAGTTCGAGACGAATTCTAAAATTCTCCGTGAAATTGATATTCGCTATTTGTTCCGACTGTTAATTGCAATTTACAACAGAATTCGTTTCTCCTAGCATGAGGAGCAAATGCAACAACATAGAGCAATTTAATAGAATATTAATTGAATCATTATTGCCGCAGTGACTGCTTTTACTCTATCGGAATTGAAGGTTCTTTTTCCAGCAAAATTTGGGGCAGAAGCGTCGTTGTACAAATGTAAATTAATTTCGTTGAACAGGCTGTTAATTAAAAATGGCTCGTTTATAAATTGCACTCGAGTTTGCAATGACTGCGCATTGATTTAATTACACGTCCTTAATGTTGCAATTTAATTACGAGGGTACATTAGATCTCGCGAAATTTCTACTCGCGCGTTTTTTCTTTTTTTTTTTTT